TCAGAGAGAGACTGACATATCACCCAGAACTGTTTTTCTTTAAAAATTTCTATTGGCTGTTTACAGTTCTAATGATCAAACCCGTAGCAAGAACTCAGGTAATTTACCTACACCATTTTATATATACACACATTCATACATATGTATATACATACATATGTTTGGTATATGTTCATTCCTTTCCAGTTCTGTTCCTTTATTATATTTGCTTCCACTCACATCAAATACACACCTCCAAGAAGGTAAACTAATTTGACTGTTTAGGTTTCACTCACTAACATAAAACTACTAAAAATGAGGTAATAAGTGAACTAAAGACACTTAAGTAACTGTCATGTTTTCAAGGCTACAAATGATGTTTGCAGGCAGCTTTCATTTCTGCTTCAGTTTGTTGGGGGAAAGCACCCATTTCTCTCACTACAAGTGTTAAGAATTTAAACCATTATTATGAGGTTATTATTTTAGTATCTATTTTTGAGTCCAGTCATGCCAAGTGGTACTTATCTTTTGTAATGCAAGTGAGCTGATTGAAGAAACTGAAAACTGATTCCCTTTTACATTCCATGAAATAAGTGAAAACAGGACTATATCTAGCTCACGTTATCATATTAACATTTCAGTTATGGATTCAAAATCTTGCAGGGTGTATTCAAAATCCACATGATATCTTGAGTGCTAAAGTTTTCAAGACGATCTGTGCATTAGCAAATAAATAGGCAATGTAAGAATACAAGTTTAGGCACAGATGTAGCAGCTAGTAACACAAAGTCTGAAGCTACTTCACCTAAGGATGAAGAAATTCAGACAACAATAGTTTGTTCATCACTGTACCAAAAGGGGAAGGTCTCTGATGTAACTGCAATCCTTTAAGATACACAAAATTAAGCTGAGAGGCATGAGGGACCAGACGGCAATTTTCTAAACTGGGGCCTAGTAGAAGTCAATTTACATATTCTCTGCTGCAAATAAATATTGTTATATTAAGTATTTGCACTACAGTAACCATCTTATGCTTCTGCATACCAAAGTAAACAGCATCAACTTCACAATAATTACTCCAAGCATTCTCACCAACCTTTCCCATAAAAAGGCTGAACTTTGAGGTGTCCAAAACCCAGCTGTTGAAATAGGTATGAAGGACAGACAACAAGATATAACTCGTATAATAGGCAAGTTCTGGTATAACAAACAACTTAAAATCTGTAAAGCATGTAGTAAGCTGAACAGAGCAGGAATATCCTGCCTGCACATCACAAAGTATACACTTCACACATCTCCGAGGTCAGAGGGAAAATGCCAGGCATCCTCACAACAATCAAAGGCATTTAAAAAAAAAAAATTTAAAAAATAAGAGAAGTGCGGATTTCTGCTGTGGTCAGAAGTACAGTCAGAGGTCGATGAGAGGTACTGCTGAAGGAGGCTGAGTAGCAGCAACAAGTACTACGCACAAATTAATAGGTTTACACAAAAAATTGTGCTAAAATCAGACTGTGTTGAGAAGGAGTTTTCCCATTCTTTTACTGGAATTTCTTTCAGTACTAATTTATTTTGTTCTCCACCACTCTTCCATTTCACTAAGAAAGTATTGATTGATTACCAAAAAACAATAGTCAAAACATAAAGGAAGCTTTGCTTCCTGTTTCCATTACTGCCTCTCTCCCCAAAGAGATAACCATATGGTTATGTGGTTTATATGCATAAAAGCATCAAATATCAATTTTTAATTTTTTGTGGATTCATCACATCGGTGTTCAGTTGTATGGAAGGCAGTTTAGCCAATCTGTTCTTTCTGCAATTTACACTGCTATATGGATAAATCTTTAAGGAAATTAAAAGCTAATGTGCCTTCCATCTTCCTGTTATTGAAATGCATCATTGAAACTATATTCCTTGTGGTTTACCCTGTACTTTTTCTCCTCTATTGTACATTGTCTTCATCACATTCACCCATATTCTTTCTGAACTCTTATTGATCTGTCTTTATCATTTCTCCCGCACAAGCTTTCTCTTTACTCAAGTCCTGTACTCTGCTTCTTACATTCTTCATTCCATGTAAAAATTTTTCTAAAAATCAGACTTAAAATCCACAGACTCAGTTGGGTCCATATTACACAGTTCTTCCAAGATCAAACAAATCAAACACACTATGAGTTGTCTTTTCTCACTTCAACAGAGGTGCATTCCTTGTTAGACTACATTTATTTTCACGCATTACTTTTTGCCCAGTGCTCTGCTCCTCAAATGTAACTAAAACATCTTCAGGTTGACCACTGGCCTCAGAATTGCTAGCAGATATGTATCAAAGTTCATTAAATGTTTTGAACCAAAAAATCTGCCAAACAGCATTGGCTTGAGCAGTTCACAGGCTTCTGTGGCGATAGCAAAGTTTTCTCCTACAAAGATTTTCACTGTATCTGTACAGTTACAGAGCCTTCCATCTGCATTTCAGTTTGTAACTGTCCCAATGTCTGATGGTCCTGGCAACCACTCACACATGTCTTTAAACTTCCTGGAATTGCACTAAGGTTTTGTTTGGTTTCTTGTTTTTCCACTTTCTCACTGTACCTTTCTTCTTCTACCACTACAAAACTGCAAACACTTGTTCATTGCATTCCTTCCAACTGTACAAATTTGCTGTGGCCCAAATCCATTTCTCGCTTTACATACATGCAAGGAATAACAAGAGGCTGCTAAAGAACTGCCAGTCCTTTTGCCCTCACAGCAAGCAGCCTAGTGCTAGTGAGTTTGCTCCAAAGGGTGCACCTTCCTCAATTGTAAGCAACAATTTAGCGGAGTAACCTAAATTTTTCCCAGTTCTGCCAGCCAGGTAGAAAAGCATTGAATTAAATTTTCAGACACTCAGTAAGAATTTCAGTTGGGTTTAGGAGCAAGATCAGTGTGCCTTAAATTTTAGTGACCTATTCAATGCTAATACTTTTCAAAAAGGAGCTGTTCTATATACGTTTAAGTAATGTCTCTTGTCAATAGATGAGGCAGGTAACATTTCTGATTTATCTACCATAAAGCTGCACTTTGAAATCTCAGAGGCAAGTGATGATGCAGTTGGGAGGAGGTGAACAGTGCCACATGCCACAGAAACAGTAAGGTGTAACATTTTACAGTATCTAGTAGCACAAGATAAAATAGCTCTTAAATAACAGGCAGTCTCTGCCAGGAAGAAAGCCACAGAATGCTTCCTGAAAGGTAAATTGGAAGAGATGGTCTGAAAGTGTAATTGAAACACTCAGAAGAATAACAGCATTGAAAGCTAGTCCTGTACTCAGACTGATCAAGGAATTTTCATAAAATCATGACTTTTTCCCCTCAGTGAGGGAGATCCTCAGTGAGGACATCCACAAACTCAGAATCACCCATGAAGACTGACATGACTATGTTGAATAAGAACCCTGGAAAATTCTTCCACTGTAAAACCCTGGAGTCCCTTCTTGCTCATCATGTTATCAAAATGCTCCCCTGAGCTTTCTAATAGAGTCTGCCATCTTATGCATCACCAGCAAGATGAAAACAGCTTTACAAAGTGTGTAGCCTGGCCAGCCTTGAAGCAGACAAGCTTGCACAACTACAATGGAAGGGAGCTCATTTTTCTGCACCAGTGAATGTCCTCAGCCATGGAGTAAACTACAAAGTGTTAAACCTAATATCATATCTACCCCAAAAGCAAATAGATAAGAAAGGAATGCAAATGTATCCAAAATTGCTATATCAAAACCACTGCCTCAGCATTTCATCCATCAAATAGCTAACTTATACATACATCTGTTTCAAAACTCTAAGAGGAAGTGATCCCTTCACCAGAAATAAAACCAAAATTGTTATTGCCATCTATCAAGCATTCCTTGTTCCTAAAAACAAAGTTGCTGTACAGAAATGACATGACTTGTCAACCATGTAACAGCACAATATATTTTAGTAGTTTACAGGTTTTCTCAAACGTTCAAATTTTCCACCTCACAGCATTAAATTTAATTATATAACAATGAACTTCTGCCCTTATGTAACTTTTTGGCCTGAAGTTGCTGCAACTATCTGGTGGGTATAAATGAAATTTTACAAATGCTTTTTAAAAGACAGAATGTTTCATATAACAGTATTAGACCTTAGAAAATAAAGGTCTTGAATTTTGCCACATCAGTATAGAAAAGAAAAAAAGAGTGATAATCTTTGAGGAATGCTATACTTGTTCATGCAGCACAAACTACTGGAAGCAGCTACCTCATCTATTGTTCATACAATTCTGCATGATTTTCATTATTTTTCTAGTTTTGCAACTACAATATCTTAAACAAAAACAAATAGATTATTTTCCTGAAGCCTTTACAGTTAAGTTTAACTTTCTTTTTTTTTTTAAACTCTGCATGGAAAAGAGAAGAAAAAGGAAGAAAGTCCCCTAAGTTTTCACCATTACTTAAAAGCAAAAGTAAGCTTAAGTTTTTACTGTCTTGGACTGACTTTCTATAGTATTAGAAATATTAAAATACAGAAATTAGTACCTTACATTGAGTCACATTTACCTATGTATATTCATCAGTGGAAAATCAAAAACTTACAGGACTCAGAATGTAATGAGTGACTTCGTTTTTCAGATTCAGTCCAAAAAAATCCTGTCTCTTGTATAGATTATCATGTCACAGTCAGCACAGACCAGAAAGGCAAAGCCTGCAATCTACACAGAAAAGTTTCCAGCAATACAAATAAACCATTAAATTGAAACAATGCCGACTTCTAAACACTTTGCAACCGTATCTCAAGAGGTTTCATTTGACTTAGTGCTGCCATTCAACTAAAAAAAATAATTTATGGTGCTTTTAAGATGTGAATCTCAAGAGTTACTTCCATACTTATTGCTTAATATAATGAAATTTGCCACAATTGCTCTAATCTCCAACTAGGGAACCCTGAAATCTTCCCGGTAAACAAAAATTTTGTTCAACAGCATTAAGTGCATTTATATATAAAGATAATGTCATCTTGATGCTTACCCGATCATTGTGCTTTCTTTAATCTGGCCCTCTGTGCCATTTACCATCGGCTCTTGATTTCTGTTTTCTTTTTCTGAAGCATCACTTGAGAGGCCCAATAAAGCTCGCACTCGTTTTGACTTCACATCCAATATCGTGTCCGTGTAGCCCACTTCTTGTAGATACCTGTAGGAACAGAACTCATGCTAACCTTCCATGCACATCCCACTTATGCAAAAACAGTAGATGAAAACTTCTCCCTAAACTCATCTTCAACCCCTTAGCTTAGCAAAGGGTGGTGCTGAGCTAATGAAACATGCTTATAAATCATCCTGTACCAGCTGCAGAGGGATTGTCTCTTGCAGTACCAGCCTCTACAGTCACTGAGAAGCCTAGCAGTCAGAGGTTATACAATACGTTATTCATTCATTTACTAAAATGGGTGGAAAAGCACTTTCAATTAAAATATTTACAACTGCTTTATAAAAATCACCACAGTTGTATGTACAACATGGTCATTTTATTCCTCGACACATGGAAACTAGATACAAGAAGTATCAGATATGTTCCAATATAAACATTAGAAGCCTAGAAAACAGAGAAAATAAAACCCAAACTCTACAGCTGTAGCTATTAGTGAGAGTTGTTATTTATGATGCACTAGGCTTGATAAAATCTTTGTCTTGCCTTTCCTTTATTCTGCAATGGATCTGCTAAATATTAATTTGTCTTCCCTATAAAGGCTGGGCAGCAAGCATCCTTGTATGAAAACCTCAAAGTCTAAAGTTGGCTCTTTAGGTCTAAAGTTGGTTCTTTCATCAATATGCCATATTGCCTTTGAGGGAAACAGGAGGAATATATGATTTAAAAAAGAAAAATTAAAAATTGGTCTCTGTCCTTCCCTCCAGAATCTGGAGTTAATAGCACTGAAGTGATTAAATGGTTAATATTCTAGACAACTCTAAAGAAGGGAAATGCTATCTTACAGTAACAGCTGTTACAAATCAAGGACATGCACTCTTCCTGCAAGAACATTCTCCTCCAATTATTTAACAATATCATTCACATAACCACATTAGGAGAGAAATACTCATGGTTGGCTATAGAAAAATCAAAAAAAGTCACCTATGCAAAACAGAGTCTGTTGGTAATATGCACTCTATTCAGCACTATGTCACTCATGAATTGCACTGAGAAGGAATGACTTGTCTTCAGACTCACTGATCCAAGTCAAGACCACTCTATTTACATTTACCCAACATGCATGTAAAGATTTGAGCTCTTGCAAAAGAAAAGCATCCAACAGACAAATTTAACTTCTGAACAATTCCTTGGATAAAGGTCCTTTTATATAAGCTCCAGACTGTCCTTATTGATTCACACCCCTCTCATTTAATCCTTTGTAACACACCAAATATCTTAGCAACTAATTTATTCATTATGATCACAATTCAAAAACCAATTTAGATTTATAGATATTTGCTTCATTCAGATGAACTGAGAATTATAAAATGTCTCATCTAGCCTCTTGGATGTTACTCTTTTCTGCACCTCAAACAGGTAAAAATAAAAGTTTTCCCTCTCCAGTGCTAGCTGTTTTTATTTTACACAATAAAATTCTGATCTTAGCAGAATTACTTGTGTGTGTTGTTTTTTAATCGCAAGGTGCCATGACCCACTGTTCTCCCAAGCAAATTGTTCGATTATACTCATTGAAAGAAAAGTAAATGAGATCAGGCATTTGTGATTTGACAAAGCTTCTCACCTGAAGTTCTGAAATACTAAAATGTTTCAAAAACCAAGGAAAAGCAGGGCAGGAGCTGAATGAACTTCATCACGCACACTAACTTTTCTTTCAATAAAATCTAAAAATCACATTTCATTACCAGATTTGTTCTTTTGCATTCAATATCTGAGTCCTTTTTTCAACACTTACTGTCTTAGCAGTTGTCGTCCTTGTTTCCATATTAGCTGACTATTCTGTTGTGGTTGAATCTCTGCCTCATTCCCTTCATCTGAAAAAGATTATTTTATTAATTTTTTTTCCTTTTCCTATTTTCATAAAAGATGCCCATCCACTTGTAAAGACAAATGTGATCTGTCTTAAAATGATTAGGAATGGTTTAATTAAAAAAAAAATAAATTCAAAGTGCCAATAATCAAGAGAGAAAAAAAAATGCACATAGCACATAATTGTAGTACTACATACACATAAAATTTGCCAGGAACATCCTACTCTATGAGAGCAACTTCCACTAGTCATTCATGCCTTCCCTTTGGTCTCACATCCCCAAGTCCCATCTAATACTTTTTCTTTCAGGGTACATAATGACATAAACAATCTCAAGTTCCATTTTTGCATTAGCCTTCAAAAATAACTGCTGCTCATATTAAGTTTGAATACAAATATTTTAACTGCTAACGATATCAAATGCAACTGCAGCATGACATCGATTTTCAACTCACCTTGACAGTTCGACATAAACAAACAGATCTGCTCAATTTAAATTCATCCTTATTTGTATTAGTTTTGTAGAAGGAAAAAACCAAGCAAACAGTAGGGATTGTTTGTTTATTTTTTAACTGAAAAGCTATTGAAAAATTTTCACCACATTTTCCCCAACCATAAATTTCTATAAAAATGTTACTACCCTAGAAAAATCTACAAAAAAAAATAATTTTGCTGCTCTGGTAAGAAAACTATCTGAATGTTGGCAATAAACAGGTATGTGTTAATTGCATGTACAGCTTCAAACTACACAATGGTGCGGTTCTTTTATTGTCCTCCAGGAGATGCATATTCTTCCCAAGATAAGAGATCTTGATTTATTGTCTATGAAAACCACTACAAAACTTGAAAACTTTGTGGTCCAAACACTGAAGGATGAACAATCTTCCTATGTAAACAAAAATTAAGAACAAGAAAAACCTCTAGTATAATCCTATGAGTAACTTGATATGGGATGTGGGAAAGCTGTTATTTTCATCAGGAAGCCATTTACCTTTAAACTGAATTAATGCCACACACAAAAAAATCCCAACACCTACCCAAAGAAACTATCAAAGATTGATCAGAATTCACATGCAAGGAGAGCCATATGAGTTTTAGCCACCTCGAATTCACAAATTCATTTAATAGCAACCACAGGAAATAATCAATTGCACAATAATTTTCCAATGACAACTGAACACAGGTGGATCCGAAGCACAGCTACCAAAGCTCAGTCTATAATTATTAAAACATGATTGAGGTAAATCTGCCTGAAAATTCCTTTGGAAAGCAAAAACTCTTCTTCTGAAGGCACTATTAACTACATCCACAGGCAAGAATGCTCTTGTGCTTAGTCTCCTCAAATCTGATGACCACTAGCAGTGACAATGGTTCATAGATAAGAACGGAGGGACTTGCATCATAAGCAAATAACAGCAGAAGGTATCACAAATAGTATAATTTTTTTTTTTTTAAAGGCATCCCTTTAACAGGAGATGGAACTCTTTTCTTCTAAATTGTGTTACTGATTCCCAAGTGATTATAAAGAAAACAATCAAAAAGGACCCATTTGGAAGAACTGCTACAAACACTTTCACATTTTTTCATGACTGGGCAGGAAAAACAGGGACAGAGCAGTGAAAATATATGGACATTCAACTAAGTATCTATCAAAGACAACTTCAAAGGAGCGTTATAACAAAGTTTCTATAACAAAGTTTCTACTTTAAGTGTATCACTAATCAGTCCATATTTAATATAGAACAAAAGTATACATTTCTGATAGCTACATATATAGAATACAATGGGATAAATGAGGATAATGGAATTTTAACAAAAGTAATTGCACTAAAGTTCATTTTGCAGAAGTAATGCACAGGCTATGGCTCTGCTCGCAAGACAAGCCTTGCATGACATTCCTCCCCTGGAAACTGGAGCAACATGCTGTAGCTGCATTCTGAGAAATTACAAAAAAAAAAAAGTTGTCTAGGATTTTAGTATGGTCAGAACAAGGTTTTCTAATGGTCCAAATAAAGACTGGAGTCTTCCACTTAGTAACACCAAATTAAGTATTTCTTCAGTTAAGGAAACAACCTTGATAATAACACGGAGTAAAATATCTCAAAAATTCATTATAACTTGAACAAGAAAAGCCTGGTATAAAGTTTTAGCAGTTGGTGTGGGGTTGGATTTATTGTTTGTTTACGGTTTTATTAATGACCTTCTAAAACTAATGAGGTAAGAATTAACCATGACAGTAAACCAGACCATCCCCTCCACAAACCAAGCGACAAAGCTGAGGTCTGCAGACTTTCTATGATCTACCTTTATGTACAGGGGCTCCAATTTCATTTTAGTAAGAGTATCAGGGGACTAAGATACAAAAAACATCACCTATTACTTCTTTCAATGGCTTGACCTGTAACCAAATCTCTGTACCTCTTCTTTTTTTTCTGAGGAAAAGATAGGGAGATAGAGGGATAAAAGGAAATAATTTAAATTCTTAATTTCTCAAGTTCAGTGCTTATATCTATTCGTCTGAAGTAGGAGATGAAAACTCTGTGAAAGTAAATCAGCTTTCCAGAGACCAAGGCACAAAACTGTCCTCTTACAGCATTACACTGAAGTTAGTTGAATGCATCTCCAATGATGATTTGAATTCTCTAAATAAATCCCCCACTCACAAACTCTCACTTATGTCTAATATGTACTTTCATTATTTTTCTCCTGAAATATCACTGAGGTAATTGAACAAAACATTATGTACTATATATTTCATTCAGATAAATTATCCAAAGATAAAAGGATTCTACAGCTATGAATCTAGTATCATCCTGTTCTAAAATATCCATACACATTACTAAGGGAGAGAAAAAACTATTCTCCAAGAGTAGATTTTTCATTTGGGTTTGGATTTTTTTAAATCTAAACTAATTTGATTTATTAATAGACTCTTTTAGAGCATTAGCATTATTTTTAATTGTACAAGAGTAAAATAGTCTTTATTAATTACCTCTATTCTCACTGCTTCCATTTAGCAACTTATTTTATCAACACTATCAATTCAGCATTTGCACAAACTGCAGTTATGTTTTTATGCCAGTAATGAACTAATGTTTAATAAATTCTTACCAGAATCATAGTTTGGTGGCTTCATATCTCCCTGATTCAATTCTGTGCCATATTTTAATTTGTGATATTTAGCCCTGAAAGAAAACAAAGGAAAAAAAATGGAAAAAAAAAAAACTATTAGCACATATAAAGGGTATCTCTAAACACACAAATGTCACCAATTTTCACTTGAAAAGCCATTCCTTTCTTCTAGTCTAGGAACAACACAAAACAAATCATTTGACCACAACTTCCGATAAGTGATTTCGTTTAATTATTTTTTCCGAGGTTTACATGCAAAGTGAATAGTGATGAAACACAGGGATCAGTAGACTGCAGATTTTACAAAATGTTCTTGCTACAGAAAAGGTTCCCTCCCTGTGGACACAAGCTACTCTTCTGCTTCCCTCCTCCAGTGTTTCACTGTGAAACATTTTTTACTATCCATGTCAGTTCAGCACCACCTACTTCATATCTCATATTGTCACCTCCATTAAGCAAACTTTAGTTTTATTCTTCGAAATGCTGTACTTTCCAACAGCAGCAAGCTCTCATTCAGAACTATTATAAGTGAAATTTAGCAGTGACAGCTCACCTACCCCAGTTTCTCTCAAAGCTGCTACATCTGTCACTTGACCAAGTGCAAAATCAAGACTTCTCTTCCAAAAATATTTAGTCTTCAGAAGGCCTAATGTAATAAACCCCACAAAGCATGCCATACAATGACAAGAGTAGCTATTTAAAAAAAAAGGAAATGCTTTTTAATTTGAAAAGCTTCATCCTACAGAGTCAGTAAAGACTTTTAAACACACAGAATAACACCACAGTAGTATAGGATTGCAAATGCACACATAAATTCTTCAAGATTCATTAGAGTAGTCTTACAACACCATAATAGAGAAACTGAGGCAAAGAAAGCCTTAGCTAGTTTCACAATCTGTCCCCTCCTTCTCTCACACTCACTGTAATTTTATAAGATTGTTTTCTGCCAAATATGAAAATTTAGACAACTCAAAACAAAATCCTGATGCCCTATAAAGTTTTGTAGACATTCACAACTGGGTAGAAGAGTGGCACTTATACTAGTTCCTACCCAGAACAAAAGGCAGAGAACTCAGAAAATGCTGACTGTGCAGCCCGGCAGTAGTGGGACAACCATCAAATACACACATACACACAGTTCCAATGCAAATGTACAGAGCTAGGTGTAGGGCAGCAAGACACAGGCTACAAAAGATAAAAAACCCTCTCAAATACACCAACATGAAAATGAGTGCATTAATTCTACTAGTCACAAGGGAATTCTTCCACTCAAAATTTGTTTTTTAAAAAATTAACAGGTGTGACACTTTGTAATTGTATGAGGCAAGTCTCGCTAAGCTCAAATGACTGTATAAAGAACGACTGTAGAAAATGTTTTCACGTTACCTACACCTCTTGATTGTTACATACACCTCTTGGTTGTTTCTCAAACATCTTCACTGCATTACTGTTTTCTTTTGCCTTTTCTTATTTCACCAAGAAAACTCATTATTTCTAACAAAATGGTGCTGAGGGAACTGATGCTTGGTAGTTCTTATGCTTCAGTATTGACAGTACTAGCTTCCTACTAATCCAACTGCTTTTTAATGATAATAAACATTTAACTCTGAATGAGAAGGGTAAGTGAAGAGTGAAGAAGTGCCTCTTAGGTGTAGCAACATAGACAAACGAAGGAACCAACTCCTCAAGAGCCAGAGCATTAAGTTCTAACTCAGCTGAGCAGCAACCATCAAGGAAAGGAGAAAGGATGCACTTGGAATGTATTAACAGTAATAAGTGAAGGTTAAACATTCTGGTCAGTACAGAAAAGAACAAGAAAGAACAGAACAAAATCAAAGCTGAATGCTCAATCAAAATATTTATCTTTCCTTTTCCAACTATCTGTTTCTTACACCTCACCAGCAGAGAGATGTTACCCTGGTAAAATATTATTGTTTAATACTGAGGCTATGTTTACTTTTTCCCTCACCATCACTAATAAAAAGTAATGGTTAATCAAGAATTAGGAAATCCTCTACTCTATCATCAACCTACCTCACCAACTTTAAACATTACAATTTTTTTATACAGTCATGAATTCAAGTGACCTTACTGTTTAATCTATTTTGATTTGACTTAACATAGCAAATATTAATACTCTACTTTAATCTGGATTACTGACATATGCTGTGTTCTACTCAATTCCTTCAAATAATTTCAGAAAGCAGTTAGTTTTTGTAGCATTTGCTTTTAGTTCATCGGTCTTATGCAGAGTTCCCCTATGCTCTAAGTATTCACTAATTTTCTTATCAGGTTTTTGTTAATAATTTCCTACCTAAGTAAAATATTTGCTAGGTTCACTGAAAGGATCATTCCTTGTACATTTCCTTTTCCTCAGATCTCTCACATGTTCTCCAAAATCCATCTTTTAAAGATTCAGTCTGCAGATTTTTAAACTTCTCAGTATATTTATTTCCATCTCCTAAATCCATGTATGCTCATTTTTTAAATTTCTTTCCCTCTTAAATCATCAGTAATAGTCTCCTTTCCTCTTAGTGAAAGCATTATAAAGTCAGTTCAACAAAATGAGACTTTTTCATTCTATTCACATTTTAAACTGTTAATAGCAGGTTTTTGTAACTGGTTGCACCTCATAATGCAACAGCTTTTAAAGCTTTTGTTGTTATTCTTTACTTCAAGAGGATAATGCAGATTACATGGTCTTGTACACCACTGGCCCTTAAATCTATTTTAAGGCCAAGCTGGACTAAGATTTCATCTTTTAGAAGATCTAACTCTGTATATCACAGGCAGAGACCAGTAGCACTACAGATAAGGCAGAAGAACCGGAGAGGTTGTTCTTCTAACAGAGAGGTAACTGAGGAGCTGAAAATCCAAAAAACCAATACTTATTTTCAATATTGCTGGGAAAGTTAAAAACAAAAAGCACAAAATGACAAAAAAACCCCAATGCTATAGTCAAACCTAAATTAAAATAATTTAGTACAAATTCCTGTGTCTGAGCAAGTCACAGACTTGAAACAGAAGCATGAGTATCATGTCATAGTATTTGACTCAGTGAACTCATTTTCAGCTACAGTATGCTTCTAAAGTTCAGAGGAATATTAAAAAAAAAAAATCCCATAAAATCAATATAGACCACTAACAGTCCATCAAGGAAGTATTTTCTACACTTCTTCAAGCAGCAAGTATGAGATTTATTTTCAGAAACTTTTTTATGGTACACCTGAAAATATCACAGGTATGAAAGAGAAACAATCTTCTTTCTAAAGAACACTAAGAAAAGGGCTGAAAACCGTGATTCAGACACCAAGACTGGAAGGCAGAGTCTTGACCATTCAGTTATACATATTGTAATCAAAGGTTATCAAACTTCTCACAAAATAACCTTGAATTCTTTTCTACACAAATTGTGATTATAGCTTATTCCATTAGCGCATTTTAATTTAATCTATTTCTATAATAACATCTTCTGCCCACCTGTCACACCTATTTTCACTTTTTCAGAAATCACACGGGCCACTTATTAACAGCTTTAAAATGGCCTTCTGCAGATCACAGCAGTGCAATACCATCATCACAAAAAAGAGAAGAAGTCTTTTTTTGTGTAAATAAGTACAAAGTAAAATCAGTGTTTCTCCAACCTTTGCATCATCTGGTCAAAAACAAGTGGTTTGGGGGAAAGAAAAAGGGAAACAAGTCACAAAGATTTATTATCTGAACTTGTTCAACTTGAATGATTTACCTTCCATTACATATGGATCATTAGCAGTATGCAGAGACAGAGAAATTACTTGAAAATAACTACCTGAAGGATACAACTTCATAGAAGGTATTTTCCATCTGAAAACCAGCCTTCAAGTTGTTTGGAAGAAAGATATTTTGGTACTGTGAAAATACATTGCTGGGTAGATGCCCTCACTAAGATAAGAATGAATATTAGCACTGCTTTGGCTTTTGCCTTTCACTACACAATTCTCCCTTTTTGATTAGCAGTATTTTCTTTGAACTATGTGTCTTCTATGCAAACAGTGCTTGGAGACATTCAACATGGCTGCCACAACATTTTAAGAGCTGCTTAGGAAAAAGTTAAAAGCTGTCATCCTTCTAAATTTCCTAAGACTAAGAGCAGTGAAGCTTTTCTGAATACTTCACACAGAAAAAAGTCTGACCCCAATCAAAACAGGCCACTATTTCTTGGAAATATCTGTCGCCAGACCTGAAGCATCTAATCCAGCTGTGCTGAGGGAGCCTGCCAAAACATCCGTAGAAGATCTGGGAGCCGACGCCAAATCAAGAGACATAAACAAGAATGACTGCCAGGAACAGCACGGCAAGATATTCTACACAGGGTAGAAGGCGCCAGCCTTACACTGATCAGACACACCAGCGCAGAAAACAACATAAAATTAAATCAAGTGTTTCTAGAGACATGGCTCAGGAGTCCAGTTCTTTGGTTGAAATATGTTAAGACAGGAAGCGAGCTAGACTAAGTGAAATAGGACATGTACTTGAGAGAAACAGTACTACATTTCAGCTAGCTCCTGAAAATTCAGAGGCAACAATGCAATTTACTGGTGAGGGAGTAAGTATTGATAAAGTCATAAAAAGTAACCCTCAACTGTGAGCAGCCTCACACTGCAATCTACTGGGTGTTAGCAAAACTACATCAAAACTACTGTTGAAAAAATGGTAGACTCAACTACACACTAGCTCCTTCTAAGCTCTTTGCTATTTAGTCTATTAAGACTCCAGCAGAAATAATCAGCCTTCCTATGCACACAACAAAAAGGTAATCTCACAGTTACTAAAATAAAGGCCAAACATTAAACTACATTTGTTAGAAAACCATGACAATCAGTAAGTAATTTTCTACCTCACCCACCACAAAATGACATGAAGTAGAGAATAACAATAATGCTTATGAAGCTGTTTATTTATATTAAAATTTGAAACCATTTGGTTGATGAAAGAAATGCTGAACACACACTATAAAGAAGAGGAGCTCATAAAAGCATGTTTTTGAGAAAACCAATGGCACCTTCTCCTAAGGGCACTGCAAACATGGGAGTCCTCTGGGCCACAATTTCATATTCTGTCCCATTACTCTTAACTTAGTTCATCTAACTGAGAAACATTTGGTATACTGCAAGCCCAGGACAGAAATGAAGGAATACAAGAATGATTCCCTGCCCCCTCACACCGCATCAACCTTCTCCTAACTTGACAGAAATGTCTTCTTCCTACCTTGTAGGATCTCATTTACCAGCTCTGAGATCCCAGTGGAAAAAGCCAGCATTGCAACTGACTACGGCCTGACCTGGCTGACAGCTGATTTAGGAAAATGCTGGGAAAGAGAGCAGTGCTTCCAAGCTCAGCATGTTGCCATTCTTTGAAGTATCAAGCAAGAACACTTGCTGGGAGACATTTCCAGCAGAAATACAAGACTGTTTCTTCAGAAACCGGCAAATAAAACTGCTGTTTAAAACCACAAACTCATAAATAGCTGTCTCTAGGACACACCAGTCACAAGCATCACATTTACTTACAGAACCATTACACACCGGCACTGAAACTGTCCCACTGGATCACACCAGCTGACAGTAGCCTACTGACCTGAGTAACAAAGGCTAGTGCCATACACTGCAGAAAAACATACAACAAAAGACAGAAGACACCAATATGTAACCTGCTAATAAGAAGACAGGTGTTTTTTCCTAATCCTGACAGGGACTACTGCTCTAGACTTTAAATGTCATAATTTAGGTGGATTTTACAGATTAAAACTGGGGAACATTTTCACTATCCATACGGGAGTTTAATTTTTGATTTTTTTTTTTTTAAATGTTACAAAGTTTCTCTGATAGCACACAGAAATGTATTAACATAGTTTGATAATTTTTGATTGCCAATTTGTCTTGGTTATGAACACGAAGTACTAGAGATGTCTTTAAGTAACCAGGAATAGCTCCCTCAGTTTTGAAATACAAGAAATCATCACAGAATATATGTAACTTAGAGTATATCTTTAACTGAACAAGAACATACTCTACTGTCTCTTATTGTGACTCTAAGCCTTGCAGTCATGCCTCAAATGTAAGCCTTTCTATAGCAATAATCTGCAATCTCCATTATGCATACATTTGATATTTTTCTTGCTATATGATAGAAGATCAGTACCCAGTGCCTGGGCAAAAAGAGTATCTACCTAAAGCATTCCTTCAAGAACTCCCCAAAGAGGAAGCAAGTATACTGGAGCCCTGAGGCTACTGCTGGCCAGAAAACTGGCTGCAGCTCCATATTAGCAGATGAATTGGTTCCTACAAGAAAGAGATGAACTGGATGGTCGAAGGCACGTCTTCTGCTAAAGATGAGTAAATCTAAATGCTATACAACAGTGTTGCACAACCAATAGCATCCATTTTAAATTATCTAGCAGCAATATCCTATTCCCCATTTGCAAATGTGTATATTTTAAATATTATTTCTACTAACACAAACTATTTGAGAGTTTTATTTTATTAATATTTTATTAAAGAGAAGCAGGAATTATCTGATAGGAAAATGGTATGTAAGCAATTATTGTTTTGCAGTAGTAACATAAACGTACTCTTTATTCAAGAATTTTAAATTACATTTTACTACTAAAAAAAATATAACTAAATTTGGCCTAAAATAAATTGGTTGAACAGAGATTTCTGAAAACATGATTAAAAAACCCAACTTGTTTGCCTCAAAGATTAGAATAACAGGAAAGTATAGGTAGGAATAAAGCAAACTGGGGACTTCTACTGAAAATCCCCATGAACAAAAAAATAGAACTTGATCAACTGGTAAACACGAACATAGAATCATAGAATCAGCCAGGTTGGAAGGGACCTCTGAGATCATCAAGTCCAACCCTTGATCCAACACCACTGTGGTTACTAGACCATGGCATTAAGTGCCACATCCACTCTCATCTTAAAAACCTCCGGGGATGGAGAATACACCACTTCACTGGGCAGCCCACTCTAATGCTCGATTACCCTCTCTGTAAAGAATTTCTTCCTAATATCCAACCTAAACCTCCCCTGGCACAGCTTAAGACCATGCCCTCTTGTCTTACTGATAGTTGCCTGGGAAAAGAGGCCAACCCCCATCTAGCTACAACCTCCTTTCAGGGAGTTGTAGAGAGTGATGAGGTCTCCCCTGAGCCTCCTCTTCTCTAGGCTGAACAACCCCAGCTCCCTCAGCCTCTCCTCACAGGACTTGTGCTCGAGTCCCTTCACCAGCCTTGTTGCTCTTCTCTGGACCTGCTCCAGCACCTCAATGTCCTTCCTGAACTGAGGGGCCCAGAACTGAACACAGTACTCCAGGTGTGGCCTCACCAGCACTGAGTGTAGGTGAGTGTTTTGCAAACATGGGAGTGTTTGCATTACAGTGTAGAACAGTTCCTACTCATTTAATTACATAAAATAAACTAGATATACAACTTATCCACTGCCCTGGTCCTGCTGGCCACACTGTTCCTGATACAGGCCAGGATGCCATTGGCCTTCTTGGCCACCTGGTCACACTGCTGGCTCATGTTCAGCTTCCTGTCAATCCAAACTCCCAGGTCCCTTTCTGCCTGGCTGCTCTCCAGCCACTCTGTGTCCAGCCTGTAGCACTGCATGGGGTTGTTGTGGCCAAAGTGCAGGACCCAGCACTTGGGCCTTGTTGAACCTCATCCTGTTGGAATCAGACCATCTCTCCAGCTTGTCCCTCACACAATTAGTTTCCAGAAGATATTTCCGTAGAGTCTTTCATATTGAAAAGACAAAAAACTTAGCAAGATTAAAAACTAGTAATTACTAGACTGAAAACAGTTAAGATTTCAGTTGTCACATATTATTAAACAAAGCTAGTACTTTGAACAAAAAGGGAATACATGGTAATTCTGAGGTACAATCTATTCAGTTAGGTGGAATTTTACCAAGGAAAAAGTATTCTTTATTGACCAACCATGGGTTCTATTAGCATGTTTTGTAGCAGTATAATGTTAGCTATTGTTCTTACTATAATGCAGACATTTAGACTACTGGTTTTATTTAGTATAATATTATTTGTCAATTTGAGAACTGAGTATATACAGAAAAAATATTTCTTGTTTTTTTAAAATAAAGAAGAGAAATAAAGTATCTGTCTTCAGAATTTCTTCGTTATGTGCTCATCACTAAAGCAGCATACCTTTCCTGTTTAAGTGCATATTCCAGCATTTTGATTCTTCTCACTAGATCCTTCTTCAGATTTTCCTGTCCCTTCCTTTCACCTTGAAGAAAGGCAATCTGGGCCTGCAAAAGAAAGGGTTCAGTTTAGAATCTGCTTCCTCAAAATCATTCAGCATAGCTCCTAGGTTTGTGTGTCTTCCCAAGTTATTTTAAAATTTATTTGTAGAGTTCAAAAGAAATCGGCTCACTGTGTTTCATAAACATTAAGTGCTTACACACAACACTGCAAAGATAAGCCTTCTAAACTGCATGCTGGTTACAGATCAAAAACAACAAGGAAGAAAAAGATAAGAAATAAAACAATTTTGGTTTGTTTGACAGAGTTTATTTCCTCTCTTGGCTAAACATTCAATAAAGGATAAGGAATAAATAAAATAAGCAAACAAAAAGCCTTCAGCAGATAAAAGTATTTACCAACAATAAGCAGAAGATGATGACAAAGTATTTCTGCTCACTAACTGATGTATGGTATAATTAGTGTATTGTGCTATAGATACATGTTAGCTACATGATACTAGTAAAAAAATGTAAACCATGTTCAACTAAAAGAAAAATAAAACCCCATTTGTAATACAGTGTTAATTATGATACTAAAATAGGTTAAAGAAAGTTCTTCAGAAATACTGTTATTAAGACAGGAAAAAAAAAGGGAAAACAGGGAAAGGTATTTTGGTGAGGGAGACAAAGAGAGAAATGGTACAGAAGTAAATAAAGTCAAGTAGAAAATACACAGTTAACCTTTATCAACTTCCAGCACAGAGTAAGTATTTAGTTGCCTGTGAAAAGTCCTCCTTCAAATAAAAAGCTATGACAAATACAAGATCCTAATTCCTAATCCTAAAGGAAGAACTACCTGCTTTTGTACCTAATGCTCAAATCATGTCCCTTATAAGAGGCAAGTTCTTGTGCTTGCTCAATTCATGAATACACTTTTAGACAGAAATATCTACAGGCAGTCACCACTTCATGCCTCAGCCTCACCTGGCATTGCAAGCCACCTGCCATTTTCAGGATCAGAAGCTTTCTGTCACCTCTGAAGCAAAAAGTCTCCAAGCATCTCATCTGTCTCTTGAGAAGCATAAACAGGATAAAAGGCAACTGGTCTAGACCATCAGCTGTTGAACATGAAGACCAATAAGCCTTTCATTTATACAAATGCCCACTGAAGGTCTGTAAGTGTTTTCTGTAGGCACTGCACTCTATACCAATCTCTAGGGAAAGTCAGCGAGAAATGAGCAGGAATATGTTATCCTCACAACCTTGCAAGCAGTCCCCAGATAGTTTAGTTAATGGAGACAGTCGTTTCTGAAGAATAATTTATCTGACTGCAGATTTTTACTCCAAGGGGAGGAAAAACAGAACCTGTAAATGTCATTTTCTCTCCATCAACTATAAAGTGAATGCATACAACTAACTCGGTTGAATTTTGGAAACCAGACAAGATGAATCTTACTCTAAAAGGCCACTTGTTGGTGGCCATCTATAGCAGCTGCTCTAAAATATGACACCAGCTGACATAATTTTATTGCTCAAGTACAGCCAGTAAACAGCTTGACAAACACCTGAAGAATCTTTAACTGCCAGTCACCAACTAGAGCAGCCAGTTTATGTCAAGTGAAAAACACTGGCTGTTCTCCAACAAAGTCAGTCTTCAACTTCAATAGGGGAAACACATCTGAATTAAAAAAAAAAAAAAAAAAAAGTCAACTGAATCAAAAGAAAGGCCTCTTGCTCTGGCATCAAGCTTTCTTTCCACTTAACACTTGAACTGGGATGAACAAAAAACTACAATTGAATTCTAATGTTCATTTTACACTCAGGTTTAAAGAAAGGCACAGAAGAAAGAAATGCTGGTGCTAGAGTCAGCATTTCCTCCCCTGAGGAATGTAACTGTGCAAGAAGCATGTCACCTCAACAAGGTCACCATCTGAATAACAAGAGGAACGCCTCAAACACATATAACTCAGTTTGCAGTAACTGTGCAGACACCCAGATTCTCTCTCCCTGTCTCCAAATACGCCCAGCAGAACTAAACATTCCCTTCTAATCAAAAAGTGAGAGAACATCAAAACACACTTTTCAAAACAGTAGAAGGTGATGTAAATATGTATTTGGCTGGAATGAGAAAGATCATTCAATGCCATCAGGACACAAGCTGATATGATCTATGATGTGACCTGCTGTCTTCAAGCAATTCTAAGCAAGAATGAACTGAATGAACACACTGGAATAAAGCATTTTTTACCTGGCAGGTTGGCAAAGGACAGCCAGTAATGACCCTGCTCACGCACTGCTATACTACAAAGGTCAAACCAGCATTACCATGCTAACAACTGAGGCTAAAGTCATCTTCCACTGGTAGCAGGTTGAACAAAATAAAAAATGCAACTTCTCAGTAGTTTTGACAGCTTACTTTTGTAAGAGGGAGAGACATTAATGGATATGATTAAGAAAGAACATACAACACCACCTTCACGTGGACATCTTTTACTGTCAGTAGTACATCAGTGCTCTTACTGATGTCTTATAGCTTTTCTTTTTCTAGGACTTCCATGAAATCCTCGTGTTTCTTACTCAAAAAGCATGCAACAATAGAGTCGAATCTACAAGCCAAGTCTTCAGCCCCACACAAGCTTATTGCTAGGATGCTTCAGCGTTACTGAATATTTTACAGATAGGTAGTTTTACTGGTAAATCAAGGAGCAGAGAATAATTTTGCTCTCTCCTTGGAGGCTGCACAGTTTCTAGCATAGTTTGTTTATGCTTTTTTTCAGAGTAGCAGCCTTATGTCCAATACTCACTATTTTTGAGAAATTCTGGCTCTGAAAATGAGAATAGTTACAGTTCATATGTCTTAAGCAGACTTAATTCTTTAGAATGTTTTGCAATTAACTGAAAATGTGCAAAGGAATCTAAATGTTCATACCATAAATGAAACATTTTGCAGTATAAATGAAAACTGAACGAGTACACTGAGTTTAAACAGCTAGAATAACAAATTATGACATCTAGCAGTGTTTTCTCAGTCTCTAGAACAAAACAGCGATAACTCCAGAATCACTATTTCAAATCAAAATACATAGACAACACCTGCCTAAATGTCTGTGCAAACATTTAATGTGTAAGAGGTTTGCGTTTAAATAGGGTGAAAAGTATAACTGAACTGAGCAACTACAGTTTTCTTATAATTCACACATAAATGACAGAATTTTATCAATAGTTTGAGACTCTACAGGCCACTTCCCAGAGCTGCAGCTTTAGCACAAGTCAAACCTGAAGCCTGTGTTATACCTGAGTGAGCAGGAGAGAAAGGAGATGCACTTCTGCTTTGAGTGATCTGCAACACTGTTCTACACTTGCGTTTTGGCCACTCCTGGGAAGGTTTGCCAAAAATTTCAAGAATTTGCAAATATTCCCAACGAACAGGTTCTGTGACAACTGACCTTCTAACTAACGAGGTTAAAATGCATCAAGTTGTAAGCTAGTCATCACAAACCTCAAAATCGCCTACGGAGATCACGCACAACCTCATATTGTTCCTTGCCTTATGGGTGGGGCGCATCTTCTCCATAAAGCACCCAGCCCCGCTGGCTCCGCAGCAAGGAATCAAGGCAGCATCCGCCTCCCATTTATTCCAGACTAAGTGCTACAAGTTACTGTATTCCAGCTCAACCGTGAAATTAAAATCAAGAGAGTAGGAGAAAGTAAATAAAAAAAAAAACCCCACACAAAACCAGAGAACACTGAGAAGAGAGATACCTGGCACGGCCTATTTCTGTTGCAACTGTAGAGTTCAGTATTTTTTTTCCCCATTTTATCTCACTGAAGTGTTTCATATTATCAACTGCAAGAAAACTTAGAAGTGGCATACACATCCAGTCTAAATTAATAGCACTGTAGCTACCTTAACTATTCCACTTCTTTATTGAGAGATTTTAAAAATAACATTCGTTCTTACATTAAAAAAATTTCTCACAGGCAACAACACTGTTGTTTTAAGAAATTCCCCAAAAGACTCTAAAGTCACATTACTGTGAAGTAGACAAAAAGGTTTTAAGTAGCACTGGGTTAGAAACAACTTTTTTTTAAAATGCTGCTGACTTCTTAATACAGGCTTAGGAGGCATAGCAATATAATCAGATAATGAAATTGCATCCATCCACTAAATGTTTAAAAATTTAAACTGAAATCTACACTTCCTAGAATCAGCAACCGCAACTACAATGATGTTAAAAAGTATCTTATATCTGGACACCTTTTTAGGCTGACACCTTGACACTACAAAACAGCATGAGATAAAGAATATTTATCTTTAACAGAAATTGTTTAAAAATAAACATACTACAACTGCCAAACAACTGATGCATGTTTAATATCAACTTCTATCAGTTCTTGAATTTTACAGCTATTGCAAGTTCAAAAGCAATTTAACTTTTTTCATTCTTAACACTTAAGAGTTAACTTAACTTAAGGTTAAGAGTAAACCTCACTTCAAATTTATAGGCACTTGAAGGTCACTGGGCATCATCTGACAAAGAGCCACAATTCTCTATATAATGCTTCCATAATTCAACAAGGTTTTCACAGGTCAAGGGAAAGAGAACACAGGAGGAAAAAAACTGTAAGAAAAGTATTTAAAAAAATACGCAGACGGCTAAAATAACAAAATACATTACAGAGATTAATCAATCTGAAACAGTTGTGCTAACCAGTCTACCAAGATCTGCCAGAAGGGTTCTGTAGGCTGCCAGGGTACTCAGTATTTTAGATTGTAGTTGGCTCACTGAAGCACTGCATATTTAAGTATATTTGTAAATAAGTGTAGCATGCCCAGGGAGTGAGAAGAAAAGAGATAAAAAACAGGTACGGGGGAGGGGGGAAGGAAAACATCAGCGGTCTAGTACAACTAGCAAACAATTTTTCAGGCACCATACTTAACACCGCAACGCACACCTACTAGCACTCTGTCAAGAGAGGCTAGGAAGCTTTCGTAAGGGCGTGTAGCCATTTAAGATAACACAAAAGTGAAGTGGGGTCACAGGCTGAAACAACCGACAGCATCA